ATATGCAACTTTATCCTAATATACCTTACTGCATCACCTTACTATAAACCTCTGGCTAAAACTCTATGCATTTAAATAAAATTATTTCAAACATTTTTATGAATATTGATCTAAAATGCATTTATTCATTTTTGTTGTTTTATTTTTAACTATATAACTATTTGCTTGAATTTTGTAAAGATATATAATAAAGCAACTAAGAGTAGTATCACATTTCTATTTTTACAGATTTATCTTTGTTAATAATTTTGCTTTTGGTCCAGTTGTTAATCATCATTTAAAAAATATGTTTCAGTCAATGAAAGAAGGTGATTTATACAATTTTTTATTTTAAAGTAGATGCTTATTTTTCATCTTTGTTTCATTAGAGAGTTTTGTTCAATAAATTGTATAAAAGAATTTTTATTACAGGTGCAAAATTAGTTTCGTCAAGGGAGTTTTGTTCAATGAATTTTAAATTTAATAAGCGAAATTTATCTGGTAAAAACTTTGATTAGTTTTTTTTTCTTCAACAATATTTTTTATTTTTCAAGTTAAGACTTTATTTTATTGCTTTTTATTTTAAACTTTAAGAACTCGGTGCTATGATGCGAATAAGTGAAATTCGTCCTCAAAACAAAGCGTCAGTATCGTGGACTGGAAACACTGTCTCATATTATTTACATGTTGTTGATCGAACAAGAGTATGATTTTGATCTAAAAGTCTAAATTCTTTAACTTTTGAAATATTTTAAAATTTTGCATTAAATTTTTTTTTAAAGATGCTATAAAAATAGTTTTAAAAATTTATTAAGATTTTATAATTTTATAAATGTTAAAGTTTAGTTGCTTTTTTATTTAGTTAGAAAAGTATTTTTCTATTCTTCAAAAAAAAAAGGTATGTATAATTTTTTATTTTATTTTATTTATGTTGTGTATGTTTAATGTATAGGAAGCTTTGTGGTTTTTAAGTATGCCCAAATTTATTGTGTGATTTTTAAGTATACCCAAATTAATTGTGTGTGCCTAAGGGGATGACTGCTTAGTGTTCTTTTGTTTGCAACTCTGTGATTTGGTCAACAGTTTGGTCACAGCTCTGTGTGTACTTAAATTAGTTTGTGCACTTGTATATTTGTGGCTCAAATGTCTGATTTAAAAAATAATTTTTAACAATTTGTAAAGAATTATCTGTATAAATTTGTATAAAGCACTCTATACAAAGCACTTTGCCACTGCAAAACTACTGTATAATGTCACCAATACTGCATTAATTACTAAAATAAAAAATATATCTAATAAGAATATTATTAAATTTATAATTTTAAGTTTATTATTTTAGATTTTAATTGTAATAAGATTTGTTAAGATTAGTTGTTTATAAAAATTAAAAATTATTATAAAAATTGCAGTTGCTTTTGATAATAAAGGAACATATAATTACTAAGGAAAGGAGAAAATTATGAAGGGTGCAAATAATTAATTTTTTGTCAATTTTGCACATTTTTGTGACTGAGGTTTGAGCTAGTGATGTTTATATTTGTAGATTTATATTTGTTAGTGTGTTTTGATTTTTTTCAATGTATTTTTATGGTGTAACTATTTTTAGGTGCATCTTATGAGTTAATATGTTGTGTGTTTTGATATTTGTTTATGAATTCATTTATATATGGATATTTTCAGGAAGGTCTTGATATTGAAGAAGATGTCAGTTCTATATATTCGGAAAGCAACATTAGTAACGAAACAAATAGTTGTGCAAACTCAGGAGCTTTTGTCAATGTTGAAACGCTTGAAGATAATTTAGATGACCTATACCTTGGGACAACAACTAGACACCAATGGCAGGTAGAAGCTCTTTATAATTTATCATTACATTATTTTATTTCAAGAATAGTTACTACTTAAAATTTTTTCATAGTTACTAACAGATACCATAAAACAAAGTAAAAAAGAAGCTATAGGGTATGTAGATCAATTTAAGCCTACTAGTAAAGAGCAAAGTTCTGGAAAGCAACATTCAGAAACCAAAAAGAATACTTTATTGCGTAGAAGTATTGCAAGAAAATCTTTTGAGTCGGTATTGTTTTAATGTTTTATGTATATGATTTTAATTATGTACATTATTTCTTTCTAGAAAATTCTAAACTTGATATCTTTAAATGTGAATGTTTTAAAATTACTAATTTCAAGTCTTTCTCAGGAATTAATATTATAAGAAAGACAAAACAAATTTTGTTTAATTTTCTCAGAAAAAAAAACTAAAGAAATACAGTCCAGAGAACAAAAAGAACTTATCTAATTCATCTTCATCAAGTTCTTCTATGGAAAGTGATCTTGATGACCCAGATTTTGTAGGAGGTAATGAAGCAAAGTCCATTGAAAACTCGCTTGACGCAGAGGTTGAAAGTAAATTAGAGCCAAGCAATAAAAAGCAATCAGATACAAATTGTTCAAAGGTGAATTTATTGGTTATTTTAAAATACTTTTGACTGCAAGAGTTTATACTATTATTTATCTTAGTCTAAATTTTTTTTGTAATTATTGCAAAATATATATTTATATTTAAAAATTAAAAAACAAAAAAAGAATTCCACTACAATTAAGTTGTTGTTTTTTTTTATTATGTTTAGTGCTAAATCTATTAAGTACTTATATATATAATTATATATGTTAGCTGGCAAATAAAAAAATATTTATTGTAGTGTAACACTTTTTTATTTTCGTAAGTTGTATTTTTAAAAATGTTTTCGCTAAGAAAATTCTACTTATTAAATTTATTTATGTCAAAGAGATATAAATAAATTTAAAATAAAGTTCTGTTAAATCCCCAGATGAATTAGCAAAAATAGTTTTGGATTAATTTACTTCTTTGTTTGACAAAAAAACTATTTTTGTATGGAGCATTACCATTAAGAGGTTTAGGTTTTCTTGCAGCCAAATTTCAACCTCTATCACATCGTCGTAATGTTACTTCTCTTTCTCTTTTCTACAAATACTATAATGGGTACTGCTCTAAAGAGCTAGCGTCTCTTGTGCCATCTACTCAAATTCATTCTCATGTTACTCGTCATTCAATTAAGTCTCATCCTTTTTCTGTTACTGTTCCTAAGTGCTATAAAAACTCTTACTCATCCAGTTTTTTTCCTCGAATATCAGTTCTTTGGAATTCGCTTCCTTCATCTTGCTTTCCTGATTCATATAATTTGCAATCTTTTAAGTCATCTGTCAATCGTTATCTTGCTCTACAATCTTTATCTTTTCTCTTCCAGTAACTTCCAACACTAATTAGTGGTTGCTTGTGACCTTGTTGGAAGCAAAGATGTTTAAAAAAAAAAAAAAGATGCTAATTTTCTATATAAGCAAACAATTTAAACTACAGAATTGTTGAAATAAAATCAAACAATTTAAACTACAGAATTGTTGAAATAAAATCAACTGTTTGTGCTAAAGTTATTTTTATATCAGTTTCATTTGTAGCACTATTTTGTTTGTAACAATAAGAAATATATGAAGTTTTTTTACTTCCAGTTAAAGTTGCATATAAAAAAGAAAGAAAATGAATTGGCATTAATTTTATCAGTTTGAACAGATGAGATAATTATAGTATTCGATTATAGTAGAAAACTTATATTTCAATCTAGTAGAATAAAATTATTTTGAGGTACATTACACAGTCAATAATTTGAATTTTTCAAAGATTTAGACAAATCAACTGTTGTTGATTGGTCTAAATTCAAAATTATGACCCCCAAGGTGATCAAGCATGTGAAAACCATGTTTGACCACTGTGACTGGGTTAACACATTCAGTAACTCAAATTTTTCAAGAGATTTAGACAAATCAAATGTTGATTTATTTTTTTAGCAATTTCATAATATGAGAATAATCTCTAAATAATATATTAAATAATATATAAACAATTGGTAATGAAAACAACAATATTCTAATTCCTTTTTTTTTCCATTTTGAATTATTTTTTATACTGTTATCTTTTTTTTCAGATTCTTATTTTAGACAAAGCTTCTGGTTTGTATTCTGGTTTGTATTCTGGTTTTATTCTGGTTTGTAGTTACTTTATATCTGGTTTGTATTCTGGTTTGTATTCTGGTTTTATTCTGGTTTGTAGTTACTTTATATCTTATGCTTGTCAGTTTCTCTTATACAGTTTGCCTTTCAAAATAATCTAAAAATCTTTGATTAGGCAACACTCTGGTATGACTGGCGGATTGTCATCTTTTTTGACAAAATTGATGGCCCGCGGTTGGTCACTGTTTTGCCATAATGAGATGAGGCCAGATCAGGCCAAAATAAATAATTACCATTGGAATGATAAGCATTGATGAATGGCACTAATCTTCCCTTAATACAATCCATTTTTGTAGATGTCTTTGTTGATCAGTGGAGTCTGTCTCTGTCATTGGAGTGATAGGTGCTGTTTTTGTTATTCATCAAGTGCAACAGCATCAAGTAAGATTTGTTATCAAGGATGACCCATTTTCCTTAAAAATCGCTATAAAGATGGTAAATGCTGGTCTTGATTTCTGACTCTCTCTGACTCTCTTGTTGATCAGGTATACCTTGTTTTGTATAAGTTTTGATGTCAGTGTACTTGGTAAATCCAATTTTCGACCGGCGTGCTTTGTTAAAACTCAGTCACAGTGGTCAAACATGGTTTTCACATGCTTCATCCCCTTGGGGGTCATGATTTTGGCTACACAAAAATCTCTTTTCACTCTTTTGTGTCCAGAATCATTCTCACCACATTTGATTATATCATAAATAGTGCTTCTTGGAATTTGTGAACAAGTGATCTACTGAGAACTTTTTATTTTGGAATTTATTATTTAAATATATATATATATATATATATATATATATATATATATATATATATATATAGCGTGTAAAATAAGAAATCGAAGGCGAGCGGTCAATTTGACCAGCTAACTCTTGGAATTGACAGTTAACTGTTTTTTTTGGGCGGTCAACATTTTTATTATTTTCTTTGTTTTTATTTAAATCTTCATAATAGTTTTTCATGACTGAACTTTATAAATACAAAAACAACTTAATATTTGATAATTAACGAATTAGTATTCCTTTTTTAAACTTGCAAATAACTAACATTAAAATTTTACGCCAATGTTAATAGTTTAAAATTAAGTGCGCAGATTTTCATTTTACTTCTTAAAGGAAGTTTGATAAACTGATAAACTTTTTCAAAATTTTAATGATTATATGATAATTTAGTACATGCTTTTTCCAAATAATAATCTGATTATTTTTTAAATCTTGTTTTTTAAAACTCTTATTATTCTTTAACCGGTCAACCATGACTGGCAAGAATTCATTTTGGGAGGTCAAAATAGCAATTTTACTCATTTTGGGCGGTCATTGACCGTTGAACGGCCATTATTTTACACGCTGTATATATATATATATATATATATATATATATATATATATATATATATATATATATATATATATATATATATATATATATGTATATGTATATGTATATGTATATATATATATATATATATATATATATATATATATATATATATATATATATATATATATATATATATATATATATACATATATTATAACTATTTATTTTCTTTTAATTAGGAAATAAACAACAATGTTACTTCACAAAATGAGCCAAGTAAAGACCTGGAGAATGATGTTGATGATTTTTTAAGTAAAATTATTTCAGTATTCTTATTACTCTAATTTACTCTAATATATGTTTTCAATAAATTTCAAAACATCAATCAAAAATCATTTCACATTTCAATCATTTCACAATATCAATTAAAACTTTGTGTTTAGAACAATAATATATTTTTTAAATTTATAACAAATATATTTTTATATTTATAAAATTTTTTTAACTTTTAAAAAGAATTTCTTTATATTAAGTTTTTTAAGGATTTTTATATTTTAAAACTGTTTAAATGGAGTGGGATAAAAAATAATTCGAATTCATAATGAGATTTTTTTAATTAATAGAGTGTTTATTAAAAATGAATGGTTAAATAATCATTTATGTAAAATATATTTTAATTATTTATAATATAAATAATATATATTTAATTATATAATTATTAAATAATATATAAATAATTGGTAATGAAAACAACAATATTCTAATTCCTTTTTTTTTCATTTTGAATTATTTTTTATACTATTATATTTTTTATAATTTTTAAAACAAACTGTTTTAAATTATTTTCAATAATATGCTCTATACAGATTTACCTTTTCTTTTTTTTTTTGATTATTATTTACTCCACTACACCATGACAAAAAATGGTTTTAAAAAAATTCTAATTTTTTCTGCAAACAAGATATGGTTAAGATCCTGCTTGTCACTTTGTTTTTTTTTTTTAAGTTTGAGATTCAACTTAAGCTATGATTAATTATTTTTCTAAGTTAAATTTCATAATCTGTCGATACATTTTACTTCTTCCATCATATTTTATTTTTATTGTAACCTAGATTTTGCTAGGAAGATTACCATATATTTTACAAGTTTTTTCTTTTCCTAAATAAGTGCATTTACACAGGTGGCTAAGAACCTTCCCTACTTATACTTTTTTCGTTTCAAGCATTAGCATTATTAACAAAAACATTTTTATTTTCCATAACTATCTTTCTATTGCTATTTATATTTTTATGGTTATTATAAAACTTGTAATTACAATGGTATAATGGTATTTATCAATAATTTTTTTATATATTTGATTAATGAACATTAAATATATATTTTATGTATCATTAATATTCATTATGTTATTTACCCATTTATATTATTATTTAGGTAAATTAAAGTATCGGTTATTAGATTTTATAAAGATAGTAAATACAAAAGAATATGCTGAAAAACTTAGTTCAATGATTGAGTTTGAAAAGGTAAATGCTTTGTCAAAAAAAAAATTGTTATTGGTTATGGTCAATATTGTAAATTTTAATCATTGTCCAGCAATGATTGGTAGATGTTGTTTTTTACTAGACATTGTCCGGTAAAAAAACAATATCTAGCAGTCATTTTGTCCAACCCATATTTTGTGTGAATTTATTTTTTAATCATTTTAGCTTCAAAACTATTAGTAAATTCAGTTTAGTAAATAAACTTCATTTTTTGAACTTTTTATTATTTAAACAAAACAGAAAATGAAGAAAACACACAGTTATGTTAATAAAATATTTTTTTGAGCTCAGTTTTTAATATGCTAAAGCTTTACATTTTTTTTGAATTAAACAACTTTAATTATTTATATTAAAATATTAACTATTAATTTAAAATTATATTTTAGTATTTATTTAATTTTTTGTCCAATGATTTTTATAAATTTTAAGCAAGTATTTTAGCTTTTAAAACCCCTTTAAAATTTATTTTATAAAAGTTTTTTAACATAATAGTTACTTTGATGGGTAATTTTGATGGTGAATTTTGATGGGTAATTTTGATGTTACTTTGATGGGTACCAGTACTTTTTATTATGCTATTAAATTTGAGATTTTTTTAAATTTTTTCGCGCAATTGTATATATTTCCGGTTTATAAACTTAATCATAGAAAAAGTTTGAAAAGAATTATCATAAAAAATACATATTTATATAAATGAAACTACATATAATATTCTTTGATAATTTAAATAAAATCGGTTTATTGTAAAAAATCGTAAGAAGTAGTTTGTTACTTTGTTTAATAAAGTATTTGTTTAATAATTTACAAATAATTTTGCGTAGTATAAAAGGTTATTTAAAAATTAAAAAAAAATGTAATATAAAATGTTTTTCTTTTTAAATTTTAATTTTTTAAATTTAGTTTTTTTTCTTTAAAATTTTCTTCTTTTTTAGATAAATTACCTTTTAATTTTCAGCATTTTTAAAACGCCTAAAGTTGTTAACACTTAAAACATTCTAACGGTGGTCAAGTTGTTAAAACAAAGTATTTTATGAGTGGTCAGGAATGGCGTGCAATCGTACTTCTTTCCTTACAGTAAATTTTTTTGTTAGGTTTTGTTGGGCTAAGCCACTAAACCAAACTATTTATCAGATGAATTGTCCGGAACTAAAAAGTTTATGATTTCAAACTCGATAATATCATACTTTTTATATATAATAATATTACATTATAATTTATTGATATATATTTATGAACTCTAAACATTTATATTAAATATTCTCATTTTAATTTCAAATATTTCTATATTTCCAAGTAATCAGAATTAGTCCTTAAGTTAAAAACTTCTTCGCTAAAGGTATGGAGGCCACAATTTTTTTTTTTTTTTTAACTTTTTAGTAATAATAATTATAAGGTTTTATGGTTTATTCATAATTATAAGGATTTTATGAACTGTTCATAAATATAAGATAAAGATTTTATGACCTGTTTTTAGACATAAATTTCACCAGTTGAATAAGCTGTCAAATGGATGTTACATCATGTTGCATTTATTAATGAGTTTTAACATTTGAATTGAAAGAGTTTTCTTTTAATGGCTTTTAACATATAAATCAAGAGTAGTTTTTTAAGATGCAAAAATTAAATTTATTTAGTTTTTGGTAAAGCTAGGTACAAGTCAATTTATATTATTCTCAATTCTCAATAATATAAATTATCAATTTATATTATTCTCTAAAAAATTATTAAATCTCTCTCTCTTACATATTTATACACTATATTATTTTATTTTGTTTACTACAAACAAGTGTTTATTAAAAAGAGTAAAAGTTTCTATGTAAAGAAAAAACTTTATTTACTAATCAAAAATGATTTAAAAAAAAAGAATTGACAATTCTATTTATTAAATAAATTGAAATAAATTATTTTTTGTTGAAAAATATTTGTATAAATAAAAGTAATTATATAAAATACACTTTGATAATTTAAATAATATGTGTTATTTAGAAGTAATTTGTTATCATTTAAAAGCGTTTCACATAAAATATAAAATCATGTACTTAAAAGTTATTTTAAAATATAAATTTTAACATTCTTTGATAGTTTAAATAAACATTTTGATAAAACAAATCTTGATCTAATTATTTTTTTACTTTATTTCAAAGAGTTAACATAAAATCTTTTGAAAAAGTCAAAGTTTCAAAGTTATTTATTCCAAACTACAAATATATATGTATATAAAATATTTTATACACATATAAAATATACACGTATATAAAATATTTTCCTCTCAAGGCTTTAGGTTTTATTTAAGTTTATTTTTTTTATTATTTTAGAATTTTAGTTTGTTAAGTTTGTTTGATTTTTTATTTTCTCTTGAGTTAGTTGTTATTTTTTATGTTAAGTTTAGCTTAATTTTTTTCTGCAAACTTTTAAAACACTTAATATTTCAAAAAAAACAGTTGTGGTCAAGTTGTCTTAAAATATTGTATGCGTAAAAAGACAAGGTGTACAACTGCACATGCTTCCTGTAACAGTCTGACATATGTATATACATATGTATGTATACACATCGGCTAGTGATGTGTCGGGTACCTGGTTCGGCCCAGTTTGGCTGTTTTACTGGGTACCCAGAATCAGCCATTTTGTTGCAGTACTTGGCACCAGGTATCTTAAAAGAAATTTTAAATAAAAGTTAACCTTAAGTTAACTTTTATAAAAACGATAATGTTTATTGGCTGATGCTCAAATATCAGTCAATAAATATCTTGAAATAAGTCTAAGGGTATTATCGATAACCACAAAAAGCTCGATTTATTCAATATAGATGTGTCTCATTTAAAATATTTTTAAAAATAAATTTTTGAAAAACGAACAGAATATATTGCAAAAATGACATTGATTTATATGGTTATTTTAATAGCTTTTTTTTATTGTGTGAGAGAATTTTGTGTTTATTGTCTTTTTTTTGTGTGAGAGAAAGTTGATAGAGTTAATTTTAAAGCTTTTGATGTTTTTGGCATTAACGACGTCAGATGGCAAGTTATTCCAAATACAGTAAACTCCCAGTTGTTCGAACTGACATTTGTTTGAATTTCCCGCTTGTTTGAAGCAGTTTTTATTCCCAGCCAATTTTTTTTATCAAACTCATGCAAATATCCATCAGTTATTCGAACCTGTAGTTATTCGAAGTTTTGTTTGTTCAAAGTGATTTTTTTCTCCCTTTGACAAACACCCTGTGTATTTCGTGACATAACTTTATCAAATGTAATCAAAATATATGCATATATATACATGAAAAAAAATGTTATCAAAATCTAAAAAAAATCAGGCGTAGTGCCGTGAAAATTTCAACTTGGTGTCTATGCAAAAATAGACAGTATTGACAATCAGAGTAAAATAACTTGCTCTTTAAGATTTGGAAAAAAATCAAACTAAAAAGAAAATAGCCAAGAAGTTTAGTGTTTCTCAAAACACTTAAACTTACTGGGTTAAGCACAATCAGTAAGTATGAGTCTGGTCAATATGGAGCAATATGGAGACGAAAGTTAAGTTTTGTATATCATGGTTCCGTTGATAAAGCTGTATGTAAATAGAGTTGCCATGCCTGGCTTTTATGGAGAAGAACACAGTGCCAAACCTCCAAAAATATATATTTTTTTTTTATGGTGCTCTCCTTCATAAATGCCGGACATCTGGCGACTCTATATGTAAATGGTTTATGAACACATGTGAACAAAGTGTACCAATTGGTGGAACTGTTATTAGGGAGAAAGCTTTAGATTTTGCAAAAAAACTTAACATAATGGATTTCAAGGATGGGCTTAATTAGATATAATGTTGTTTTTTGAACTATTTACGCCAAGGAAAGTTCCTGCACAGAGAAAATAACAGGAAAATGGAAGCAGAAATGACCGCAAGTGGAGCATTTACCCACAATCCTTGCAAGGTATGAATTGAGAGATATTTACAACACTGACGAGTTTGGTTTATTTTATTAATAGTTTCTGACAAAAACCTTTCATCTAAACGGGAAACAATGTACAGAAAACAAATTAATCATATTTATGATATTTCTATTTTACTATCTGTCTTTCTTAATATTGAAATTTAGCAGGTGTTGCGCAAACATTACAAGGTTTAATGCGAGCTGTGGGCATATTTTCCGCTATCTGTAAAGATAGAGGCATAAATTTCTTAGTTAAATGTTATTCCATAGTGCTCCGTAACAAGTGCTCCTCGGAGTACAAGTGCTCTGTAACAAGAATGTTATGACCTCTTGGGGTACCTATAATAAAAGTTTAAAAAAGAAAAATTGATTTTAACTTGAAATAAGTCACTTTAAAGAGGGTTTTCAGTTATTCAAAGTAAATTCTTATTCCCCTAGGAGGTTTGAATAACTGGGAGTTTACTGTAGTAATAAACTTGAGGAAGAAAGAATATTTACAAACATCAAGTTTACACATTAGTTTGTGTAATTTTAATTTGTTACCTTAAGTGTAAATATAGTTGTTTATTAAAAAGAAACTTGATATGTTTGAGCAAACTTAATTAGCGCAAATTGATGAGCGTTATTTTGTAAAAATAATTCAGCGTTAGAGATTTCACAAGCTTTTATTCTAACTTTTTAATTTAAACCCGATGTTGGGTACTCGGACTCTGTATTTTCTGTTGGGTAATAAGAATTGGGGACTTGGCATAAACTGGTTCCAGCACATCTCTAACACCTACATGTGTAAATTTGTGCAAATACTTTTGTGCACTTAACTTTGTGCACTTAGCTATGCATGACATATAATTGATGGTGTCGTATTAATGAGAAAGCAATCTGTAAGGGCGTCTGTATATACATTGATAGAGAATTTGGTTCTGGGCTGCTACATATATGAATATTAAGGACATTTATTAAAACAACAATATTTCTGTTTGATATCAAGTCTGCATTTTAAAGTTTGAAGTGCATGAAAACATATTAGGGCATTTATCCCTGTGAGTGCACAGGGATAAATACATACACACAAATTCACACATAACAATTTATTTTTGTATTTTACTAACAGGCAAAAAATAAATTATTACTTCGAGAAGTTGATGAAACAGAGGCGGTTATTCAAAATCTCATTAATGATGGACTAAAAAAATTCTCACAACGTCTTTCAGAACTTGACATCGCTGTAAAAACACCATTAGAGCTGCTCTCAAGATCTTCAAATTTAGCTTCGAAGCATCGTGCTCTTGAAAATAAAGTTCTTAATATGGAGGTTGAAGTGTCTCTTTTAGAACAAAAATATGAAGACATGGTAAATAATATTTAAAATATTTTTTAGTATTTTTCAATATCTTTTAATATAAGCTAATAATATAATATATGAGTTTATTGCCTAAACTGTTAAAAGTTCATGTATAATGCAAATTAATTATTTAACATCAATGATGTATATTCAAATATAATGTAAAATGATAATAAATGGTAAATAAAAGTATTATAAAAAATACATTTAAATATTTTGATTTAAATATTTTCAATTTTAATAGATTTTAATAAAATTTTAGTGCAATGATAAAGTTGGAATGAAACCATGTGGAGAAATGTTGTGTGATGATCTTTCTACAATTTCAGTAAAAAAAAAATTTGATATGTTTTTATCTACTACAGAACTATTAGGCCTAACAGTTTTTGTGCGCTTTAGTTTTATACATATGTAAACCAATTTTTTCTTTAAGTTCTAAATGAAATAATTCAAGTATAATAGTGTTTTCGCTTTTTTTTTTTTCTTTATAAAATTATTTGATGATTAAAAAAAATTTTCAATTTAAAAAAAAAGTTTTTTATTTTTTTGGCAAGCGCTTTTTTTATGCCTTCACCGATGTTTTTGCAGGTATATGAGCGAGCGTGGAAAGTCTTAACAGCAAAAGCGCTGGCCAAATGGAGAAGACTGATATAAATTTATAATATGTATTTTTTTTGTTTTTTTTTAGAATGGTGGACCAGGAAAGAATGATGTAGGTACAAAAGTTTGCTATGCTATTATGAATGCACTAAATCAACGTCACCTGCTGATAAGCAAAAATGAACATATAAATGAAGAGATAGCAATACTTGAAAAAGTATGTACGTCTGCTATTCCGTCTGTTGAGCAAGCAGTATCTGATATCAAGGTTACTTTACCTTCAGCAGAAATATTTTTACAAGCTGAAAAGCCTACAGACAAGCTTGATCTTATACCCAAACCACGTCCTGTTGCCTTTGTTCCACCACGTATGCTAAGTTGTGATAAGGCAACAATTTTACCAGTACTTACAGAGCAACAATTAGTTTTGCCCCCCATTATCTCAATTAGTCCATTTAGTTTTTTGAACTCTACTTTAAGAAACAGCTTTGCATCTGAAATAAATCCTCAAAATAAAAACAATATACAATCAGAAACACAAGGTTATAAACGTTCAAGAGGACGACCCAGAAAAAACGTTCAGTCTTCTGAAAAGCCAATCACTAAAAAAGTCAAACCTGTTGAAAAAAGTTTGTATCATTCACATTTGTCTAATGATCTTTCTGTCATCAGCCAGTATGAATTACATGAACCTAGAGTTTCTTCAGAAGAACAAAAAGGAGAAGGAAGTAATTGTTCTTCAGTAGTTTTTCCAAGTAAACCAAAAGGCTCAATTAAACTCCCTAAAAAATTGTTGAAAAGAAGTGCAGAAGTTGAAAAAGAAAAGTTTCAAAAAGCTCAGAATATAGATGAATCAAATACAATGAAAATGGAAATCTTAAATGTTTCAGAAAATTATGTTTTAAAAAAAGATGTTGAATTAAACAAGTGCAATGCAGCTACTAATTTGATTTATTCTTCCTCACAAATAATGCTTGATGAGAAACAAAATCGATGTCAAGAAAAACTGTACTCTTCAACAATAATGCAGAACAGCTATGATAAATTGTTATTCGATAGTATTGCTTCTAAAAGTATTAATAATAGTTCTGTAGATGACTATGGAAATTATTTACCAAAAATTTCAAATAATCTTGAACAAAGACTAAGTGCTTCGCTTGACCAAATTAGACAGAGTGTTTTTGTCTCAAATTCTTTAATTCATCATCCACAACAATATGTAGATAGATTAAGCCCTACACTACAAGATCACACAACCAGAGCTTGTACCCATCCTCAAGAAAGTTCTAACATAAATAAAATAGCTCCAGAAGGTTGGAGTGGGTTAACTTCTAAAACTCCAAGTGAGTTATCTATTGCTTTGTCCAGTTCATCTATGAGTAAGGAGCAATTTATTAAACCTAAAGATATAATTTGCACTAACTCAGATGTCATAAACAATCCTTTTTATCTCAAACAAGATTATCAACCTCGAAAAGTAATTAATAAGCCATTAAATTTTAAAGACGATTCAATCTATAAAACTTCTGTAGTTGCATTGCAAGAAAGTTATAATCATAGTAAGTATGACCAATCCAATGCTCGATCTGCTCTAGTTGATGATCATTTTTATGCTAGTCTCAGTCACTTAGTTTCTAGTCGAATTTCTGCAAATGAAACAAGCAAAACTATCCCTAATATAGTAAATTTTACAGATCAATCTAAAATGACATCTAAACTACAAACTACTCAGAATGCTTTGACTCAATCTAGCTCAATATATTTTCCATTTACTTCTAACAATCAATCAACATTTTGTCAAAAGTCAATAAATGGTGACATGCGACTTATAAACTCAGTTAATTTTCCAAATTCTTTATCTTTTAATCCTTTACTAAAATCAATGCAAGAAGAATCTCATCCAACAATGACATCTCAAGTTACAGGATCAAAACTATTTGTAAACAGTGTTGAAAAAAAAGAGGAACCGTTAAAAAAGAAAAGGAGAGTAAATCAATCTAAGAAAAAGCTACTCACTTATTCTAGTGATACTAATGCGGCACCTATCACAACTTCACATAATACAAGTCCTAAAGTATCAAACTTTCATAACCCTCAATATCGATTAGTTTATCAACCAAGTGTTGCCACAGATTCTCAGAATTCCTCATTCTCAACACTTAACACTTTTTGCTTAAACAGTCCAATCAGTGTTCAATCTGATGTTAAACAAAATATGGTAACTCCAATACCAAATAACTTCATTCACTCCCAAGTTATTAGTTGGAATATGAATTCGGCAGCTCTTGCAAGAGTTTCACTACCAACTGTTTGTAACACACAGGTTACGCCTGCACTAGATAACATATTAAGAAACCCTTCTATATCAAATAATACATTACAGCCAATGGTTTATACTACGCAACCGCATTTGATTCTATTAAAACCTCATTTAAATGAAAAAAACAGTGATACTTCGTTGCAAACTTCTTTCTTGAGTATAAATCAATCAGCATCTTCACCAACATATCCACCATTAGAAAAATTAGATGATTTTAAAACTTAGATGATTTAAAAAAAAATCTTTTTTAAAAGTAGGAATCCTTTTATAATTTTTTTTTAAAAAACAACACCTTTAATAAAATATGTAAAATTTGGAGAGTTTTAATATATGATAATGATAAGAAAAAATATGAAAAATTATCCATCTATGTTTCTCATAAATTAAAAATTCATTTATTTTTAAATTTCCTTAAATGTTAAATATTTGACAATCTTGTGTGTGTGTGTGTGTGTGTGTGTAAGTGTGTGTACATACAAATATACATACATACATACATACATACATACATACACACATACATACATACATACATACATACATACATACATACATACATACATACATACATACATACATACATATACATATAAATATACACATATATTTATACGCACACACACATATATAAGTATAAGACACACACAAACATATATGTGTGTGTGTATTTACATATAAATCATTACTTTAAAACTGTTTTATTAAGCAAATTAAGTGGGAACCTAATAAGCTATTTTTATTTTATTATTATTTTTTATTTGTTTTATTTTAATCTTTTTTATCATGTTTTGTTTTATTTTGTTTCAAGTCCTTATTTTATTTAGTTTTTGATTTCTTGCAAATATTATAAAAAAAATTGTTTTTAGATATATTGCTTATTTATTATAATATGTTTCTGTTGTATTTAACTTTTCTTTTTTGTTTTATTTATCTGTTCATTACTTTTTCTATATTTTTAAAATGACGTAAAATATGGTTTTAGATTTTAAACCATTAAATGCTTGTAAATATGTTTTCAAAGAAATTTATATAAATTTGTTAAAAGTTGTGTAAATTGTATTCATTATGAAGATTTAGCAATATTTTTGCATTTTTACGTGCTGTGTTTTTAATTCAATCTATTAGTAACTAAATATTAAAATGGTTTACTTTTGTCCTATAAAAAAAGAGTTTTGCGCTAGAGTTGGTTTTACTATTTAGTTTCAATGTTTTGGTTTAACATTAGAGATCATTTTTATTTCAGCAATTCCTGATTTTAATATGATATTTAATGTGTTTATTTGTCTGCTTATTGTGTTTGCTAAAATTTCATCTTCTGAAAGAACCTTTAAAATTGATTATGAAAACAATAAATTTTTGAAAGATGGCACTGAATTCCGCTACATTAGTGGATCTATTCATTACATGCGGGTTCCTGAAGATTATTGGGAAGATCGTCTTTCAAAAATACGAAAAGCTGGTTTGAACGCTATTCAGACGTAAGTAAACAAAAAAAATTTTTGTCATTTTCTTTATTTTTGTCAACTTCTTTTATCTAGGTACTAGTAATTAGTGACCTACTCAAAACTTTGAGTTTTTATAAATTTTAATAGTTATATTAAATAAATTTATATTTATTTAATACCCCATAAGCATAGATTAGGGTATTAAGAACACCTTAAGCAAAAATTATAATATTTTCAAAAATAATTGTTGCATCCAAAATTTTTGCAAATAAAACAATTATTTGGGATCACTACTCATGATCCATTTAGATATATGGGCACCCAAAAAAACTTTTAAAAAACACAGAGGTTGTAAAAAAGTAGCAAAAGTGCTCATATTCCCAGACTGCTTTGTTATATGAACACTTTAAATTAGCAAAAATATAAAATTAATTGAGTAAAAAATACCACCCTGAAAATTAGAACTAATTTGTGGAATATGATGATTTGATATTACCAAAATTTATCATTAAATAGTCAAATTTTATTTTTTGTTAAAGCAAATACTTTACTTTTTGTTGAAGCAAATTTTTTGCTTTCACCAATAAAATTTTGTTTTATGCAATATTATAATAAATCAATATTTCAGCATCAAAATTTCCTGCCACAAATTTATTCGTACATGATGATAATATTTTAACAACACAAAAAATCTATTAATGTTCTAATTAGATGAGAGCCGCTAATTACTGCATATAAATTTACACTAATTATACTGATTTCTGTTATCTGTTATTATAAAGTCGATTCAAAAAATATAAAGCAACTTTAACTTTACTACTTATATCTTATAAATGTTTTAGTATGCTTAACCCTAATCTACCATACATTTGGCAACAATATATATATATATATATATATATATATATATATATATATATATATATATATATATATATATATATATATATATATATATATATATATATCTGTGTGTGTGTGTGTGTGTGTATATATATATATATATATATATATATATATATATATATATATATATATATATATATATATATATATATATATATATATATATATATATATAAAGCTTTTTAACTTTGCTAATAATAATTTGTCTTCTTTGTAACTTGTTTTTCTGCTGACCTTTTTTCCAAGGATGTTATGGATATTATACTGCATCTCAGCTGAGCTCTTAGTAATTCACATACTTAAAAACAGTTGAAAGCCATATAAAGATCATTTTCAAGATCAACTTAGTAAAGAATTATTATTTAAAAATAAGTACAAGTAAAATTAATTATCTCCGTTTTTTTTATTTATTTTTACTAAATTTTGAGCTAACTTTAACGAATTTTTTAGTTACATACTTAAAAAACATTAGATATAAGTATTTATACTAAACATTAGATATAAGTATTAACACTATACATTATAACAACAGAAAAAGTAATATCAATTAACATATGTTGTAGCGAATATAATGTACTTTTTTTAAATGTTTTGTATTTATTATTTTTTCCACCACTATATATATTAGTGTGTTGGCGTTTTAATATCTTCAGTTTTCTGTATAAAAAATAGATGAACTTTGGTTTGAAAGTAACTGAAAAGTCATTGGTTTTATTTAATTTTTGAAAAAGATCACCCACTAGGGGTAGCAAAAATGTTATCCTGAAATCTGTACGGATTATACAAATATCTGTAGGATTCTGTACAAATTGTTCATCCTAAAATTGGGATTAGGCCCAAGATTTCGGGATGATACATTGTTTCCAGTTTAAGAGGTTGCATGCTGGATCTTCTTGACTTAATGCATGGGTTTCGCTTGTGTCTCTGTTTTTATGACAGGCAACTCATTCTATTATCTCCTAATGAGGGTACAGCTCTAAAACTTAGTTTTATGGTTCTGAGGTCGGCTGGTAGTCAGGTTTCCTGAACTCTGTGGTAGCTCTCAGAGAGACTGATTCCATCAACAGCTGAAAAATATCAGAGTATTAACAGTGCCATGTTGCGCATGGCTGGTATCCCTGTTCATATTTTTGATGTGCATTGTTGAGGCCACATTTGGAGCTCTTTGTTACAGCTAAGAGTTTATTAGTAGCAATGAGGCAATTGCTTGGGCTTTTAAGTAGTGTACTGAATACTATCTAAGCTTTGATTCAAGTTTTTTAACAAATTTAAAAATCACTAAAGTACCAAAAACTATAAAACACAAAAAACCATTGTCATCACCAAGTTCTCTAAACCTATCATTCATTAATATTCGTGGTCTTCAAAGTAATTTTTCTTCTGTTGAGTCTTATCTCTTGCAAAGTTCAAAAGACCTACTTGCTCTTTGTGTGCTCTTAATTTGAGTTTGACTGTCTCATCTTGTGATCTTCCTTTAATTTATAAAGACTCCAATAGGAGTGAACTTTAATTCAGATAAAACCCAAATTTTTTCAGCCAATCATTATTGCAATAATATAGATCTTCCTTTATTTATGAACAGTAACATACTTAATGAGTCATCTGCCTTTCATCTTCTATATATCTCTTACTTCTGATCTTTTTTGGAAACCGTATATCAAATTCATAGCAAAATTAGCACCTGCTAAGGTTGCATCTCTTTATTGAGCTTGCCACTTTCTTACTCCTGATTTTATTCTTTATGTCTATAAAACTCAAATCTGTCCTTGTATGGAATACTGTTGCCATATCTGGGGCAGAGCTTTCAATGATGCTATTCCTCTTTTAGACAGGGTGCAAAAATGTATTGTAAACATAGTTGGTCCTGCTCTTGCAGCATTAGGAAATAAACCAATATAACTAATAAACTTAGGTGATAAACCTCCAACCATTATCACATCATCGTAATGTTGCTTCTCTTTCTCTTTTCTAAAAATAATATAATGGGCGCTGCTCTAAAAATCTAGTGTCTCTTGTGCCATCTACTAAAATTCATTCTTGTGTTACTCGTAATTCAATTAAGTCGCATCCTTTTTCTGTGACTGTTCCTAAGTGCTTCTTAAACTCTTATTCGTCTAGTTTCTTTCTCAAACATCAGTCCTTTGAAATTCGCTTCCTTCATCTTACTTTCCTGATTCATATAATTTGCAGTTTTTTAAGTCTTCTGTCAATCATTATCTTTTTCTGCAAACTTTGTTTTTTCTCTTTCAGTAACTTCCAACTCTAATAGTGGTTGCTTGCAGTCTTGTAGGAAGTGAAGATTTTGAAAAAAATTTAAACTAATATATTATAAAAAATTAATAAAATTTTTGCGCTTGCTGATGGGAAGATTAAAAAATTTTAATAGAAGGATACCTTAATTTTATTTTGAATTTTTTAATTTATTCTAAATGTGTGCATGATTTTAGTTCCATTTCTATGTCCACTCATTTTTATTACAAATGTGTGTGATTTTAAGTTTTTTTAACATCAGTTTAATTAATGAAGTTATCAAAATACAGAAGGTTTATTGATTTACAAAAGTTTACTTAACGTCCATTTAATTAATGAAGTTATCATTATTTAAAGTAGAAATTGTTTTCTGAAGAAGTTGATTATATTCGAGATTCAAATGACTCATGATGATGATGAGTTTATGTGTAAGTACCTTCAAGGCTTAGATTACTTCATAAAAAACCCAGAAGTTTTGGTACCAAATACAAGTACCCAAAATAAAAAATTATGATAAACCTAATAAAGTGTTTAAACTCGGCTAATATAATAACAGCAGCAAACTTAAGTAGTGATAGTTGTGTTCAGTTGAACCAGGCTTTTTCAAGCCATGAGTGTGATAATAATGCCTAAGCAATTAGGGAACAATTAAATGAAGTTATGTAAAAAGGATTGGTAGCAATATGAACACAACCTATAAGGGTAGAAAGTATAAGTATTTAAAATTCAAAAAGAAATGTTGTTATTTGAAAGTAATAGCTCAAGATGTGATCACCTTTAAAAAACATATCATTATATACTATATAAACGGCCAACAAGTGTGGATTCCAAACGAGCTTTCTCAGCCGCTGGGTTTTTATGTTCAAAAAAAATAAATATAATTAAGCGATGAAATGATTGACACAGAATTTTTAGGGTAGTACTTTCAAATGTTAATACAACTCATGTATGTTCATGCATGTTTATATTATTTTTAATTGTTTTTATTTATACTGTGTTATCATTTTAAGGTATTGTTTTATAATTTAAATTACTTAGGTTCATTGATGAATAAAGTATTTTATTTATATTATTATTAATAATTTTAAAATTAAGTAATGAGTACTTAAAATATTAGTTCTTCTTATGCTTCACTTTCTACAATTGTTTTTTATTTTTATTCTTTTCAATCTTGGGATATCCCAGGGATGAATCTCTAAATCTCAAAAGCCTGGGATTAAAAATGCCCCAGATTTATATATATAGTCTTGCATGGTAGTCAAAAAGTTTTTCTCATAAACTATAGTTTTGAAGAAAGCGCTAATAAACCAGACCAGAAAAAGTTTAAAAACTTGATTAATTTTTTTTTTCCTTCTTAAATGATAGACTGCTTGCCCTAACCAAACCCTCAGTCAATGTAACGGCACTCCCTTGTAAGTCAGGCTATAAGATAGTCGATGTAGCAACACTCCATTGCGAGTCAGGTTATAAGATAGTTGGTGTAGCAACACTCCACGCATGTTTTAAAAATATATTTTAATAAAACAAAAAAGCCATTAATTAAAAAAAAAACTTTATATTATATTATTTTATATATTATTATTAAATTGAAAACTGTAGTGTAAAAATTACATGGAAAGTAATCACATAAGAGATTACTTTATAACAGTTAAAATTTACTTTTATCTTTTATCAATATTGTTTTTAAAAGAGTTTATCGTCTTCACATTAACAGTTTCATGATCTAAATTGTTCCAATTGTTACAAACTTGATTTACGAAAAAGTTATGTCTTGTGTTACATTTTGGAGTGTATTCTCTTGAGAATCTGTAGTTGTGATTTTTGCTTTGTTTTCATCTAATACTCTGTTGGTTATAAAATTTATTGGTTTTTGTAAT